CCTGTGTGACGCTGTGACTTCAATTCTTCCCTTTCTCATGCCAAATAGTCTCCTCTCCATATAGATGGCATCAGAGTAGAACTCTACGATCTGTGGTTAATACAGACTGCACATCAGGGGGAAGTGACATATTCTGCCTCCCACCCCACTTCTCATTCCTTCACTTACATTTGCATGTATGCCCTGTGCATATGTAAATCCATATGCATATATAAATATTCATATGCATGTCTATGCATAAGAGAGAAAACATCCTGTATTGTCTCTCTGACTCTCTTATTATTTCTTGTAAATGTTATGATTTCAGTTTTTATTATTTTGTTAGTGTGCATATGTGTGTAAGTGCACGCACATGTGAGTATGATTAAGGGAGAAAGGTGGGGCCTGTATGAGCCATGACTGCATGTGTGGAGGTCAGAGTGCAGCTGCTTTGGGGAATCCATTTTCTCCTCCTGCTTTGTTTTGCCTGCCATGCTGGTAGCCCAGGCTAGCTGGCCCACCATCTCCAGGTCATCTTCCTGTCTCAGCCTCCATTCTTGACGTACAAAAGCTGAGAACAATGTCATCTCGCTTTTTTATATGGGCCCCAGAGATCAAGCTCATGGCATCACACTTGGACAAGAAGCACATTTACCACCCAAGCTCTCTCCCAAACCCAGAATTTTATTTTACAGCTGAATAAAATCTCTCTGCATATATGTATCACATTTTCTCTATCCATTCATCTGACAGACATCTAAGCAAGTTCCATATAAGTTACTTTTCCCATTGCTGTGACTAAGTCAAGAAACTGGCTGCTGTGTCACATGTGTGTCAGTAGGTGGCAGAGAGGAGAGAGGCTATGTCTTTGCTCAGTGGACATCTGAATGATTAGTAGCCTACCATTCCCTGAAGAAAAAAAAAAAAAAGAGAGAGAACCTGAGATTACCACCAGTACCCTTGCAAGGGGCCACTCGGGCAGGCCAGGCAAGAAGGGCAAGAAGGGAGCCCAAGACCCTACCAGACTGGCACCATGGGGTCCAGACAGGGAGCTAGCCTGAGGAAACCACCAGTCCTCCCCTGAGCAGGCCTAAGGGGGAAGGCAGCAGTTAGACCATGCACGAGATGATCCCTGCCTGGCACCATGATGCACAAGCGGGTCATAGCACTCCTGAGACAACCCCAGACACTCAGAGACCCCCGGGTACCACTAAGAGGAACAAGTAAGTGATGAAAAAAATGGAAAAGAAACAGAAGGGTGTGGGCACAATAAAGAAAGACAGAACTGGAGACTCAAGGGTAGCAAGAAACAGCCTGATGTGAGTATCTGGTGATGCCACCTGGGACCATGGTGGAGTCCTGGCCTCTGCCACCATCAGGGTTCATGTCTGAGTCCATGGCTCTGCAGAAACAGGGGTCTGTTACCACCAAAGGCCAGGCAGATGTCCCTGATGTGAGCTGCTGCCCAGGGACATGTTGCTGTCTGAGGGCTTTGGAGAACTGGCCCCAGCCCTCACCTGGGCATCATGGGAAAGCTGGCCCTGGGGTCATGAAAGCAGGAGAGCTGACCCCATCCCTTGCCAGCTGCAGTACTGGGGAGAGCTGGCCCGCATAATTGTGGGACTCGTTCATTAGCCAGCCTGATTATATGAGCTTGGGAGAACTGGCCCTAGCACTTGTTTTCTGTGTGCTGGTGTGGACTAGAGAAGAGATACCTCCCGACCCCTTGCCCCTCACCACCAAATGTAGGTGGGAGACCTGGCCCTGGAGTCATGAGAGCAGGAGAGCTATTCCTGCCTCTCACCAGCTACAGCTCTCAGAAGAATGAGCTCTTCACCTCTCCTTGGCAGCACAGTAGAGCTGAGCCTGGTGGCGGGGTCACTGGCAAGCCGGCCTCAAGGGTGGGAGCATGGGAGAGCTGGCCCCACCATTTGTCTGCCATGCAATGACAAGGGCAAGAGAGAGATGCCCATCACCTCTAGCCCATTGCCACCTAAAGCAGGCAGAAGAGCTGGCCCCGAGGTCATCAGAGCTATCCCTGGATGTAGGTGTTGTAGGTGAGCCTGCCCCAAGGACATGAGTGCGGGAGGGCCGACCCTGCTTCTTGTCTGTTGTGTAGTGGAGTCATGGAGGGAGAGATCCCCTCCTTCTTGCCCTCATCACTGGAGTCAGGCAGAATAGCTGACCCTGGTGGGGTCGTGAGAGCGTGAAAACTAACACTGCCCCTCACCTGCTGCAGCAGAGAGGGCCCTGAACCTCACCAGAGCAGTAGAGCTGACCCTGAGGGCAGGGGTGGGGGTGGGGTGAGCTGGCCCCGAGGGTGTGAGCATGGGAGAGCTGACCCTGCAACTTGCCTGCCATTCGGCAGCATGAGGTAGGGAGAGATGCCCTCTCCAACCCTCACCCCATGCCACCTATGGCAGGTGGAAGAGCTGACCCTGGGTCATGAGAGCAGGAGAGCTGTCCCTTCCCCTCACCTGCTGCAGCACTCAGGAGAACAGGTCCTGCACCTCGCCTGGGCAGCACAGTCAAGATGGCCCTGGATGTGGCGGTTGCAATTGAGCCAGTTCTAAGGGCTTGAGGGCAGAACATCTGGCCCTGCCTCTTATCTGCTGGGCAGTGGGTCAGCCAAGGGAGAGGCTACTCCTCCCCTCCCTCATCCTTCATCGTCTATGACAGGTGGGAGAGCTGGGAGAGCTGGCCCTGTCCCTCACCGACTGCAACACTCAGAAAATTGGGCCCTGTACCTCTCCTGAGCAGCAGCAAAAAGCTGGCCCTGGTGGCAAGGGTTGCAGATGGGCCAGCCCCAAAGCCATGAGAGCAGGAAAGCCTGCGGGCTGACCAGCTCAGATACCTCTCAGGCCCGGAGCCACACTTTGAAGGGGCCCACCTCAAAATCTATCTACCCCATCGATGAACTGCTGGAGTCCTATAGATCCAAAACTACAGGATCTCCATGACACAGGGCAACAACAGAATATCCTGAGAGGAGTCCCAGTGAGGTTCCAGTATTGATAGAGTAGGAGTAGCCAGAGGCCTCGAGCCAGACCAATGAGTCATTGCAATGAAAAATTGAAAACAAAGAAGCATGGACAAAGGGGTACATTGTGGGACACACTGTGGCCCTACAGCTTTCACAATGAGGTTTTTTTTTTCTCTCTCTCTCTCTGTTGTGAGAGAGGTTGCAAGGGTGAAGGATGGGTGTGAGGAGAGGGGGAGATGAGTGGGACAGAGGTGCATGGTGGGAAACTCACAAAGAACCAATAAAAAGTTATTAAAGAGGAAGGGAGGGAGGGAAGGAGGGAGAGTGGAAGGAGAGAGGGTGGAAGGAGGGAAGGAAGGAAGGGAGAGATAAAGGAAGGAAGGAAGGAAGGAAGGAAGGAAGGAAGGAAGGAAGGAAGGAAGGAAGGAAGGAAGGTCTCACTTTGGCTGTCAGTCTAAAGTCGGGGAGAGGTGAGGACACCGGTCACTTTGCATATACAGTCAGGTCTCGGAGAGAGGTGAATGCTGGCGCTGCCCTACGGTCAGCTTCTCATTCAGTCTCAGGCTCTTTCTGTCTACTAGTGTTTGTCTTATGAAATAGGAAGATCTAAACTTTGGTGTATATAATTTGATCTTGGTGAATTGTTCCCTTTATTAGTTTGCAGTGGCCTTTTATCTCCAGCTAGTATTTTTTCTTTTTCTGAAACAGGATTTCTCTGTGTAGCCTTGGCTTTCCTGGGCTTGCTTTGTAGAGCTGGCTGTCCTCAAACTCACAAAGATCCACCTGCTTCTGCCTCCCCAAGTGCTGGGATTATAGGCATGTGCCGCCATGCCCAGCTCTCTGGCTAGTTTTATTTGAAGTCTGCTTTATCGGGTATGAGAATATCTGTGCCATCTTGTTTTCAGCTCTGCTTTGCCTGTAGATTTGTTGGGTGCTTGGTAGGCTGGTTTCCCCCTTTTAACTCCCAATCTGTGTGTCTCTTTGCCCATAGGGTATGGTTAAGGGAGATAACAGATAACTGGAGCTTAGTTTTCAGTTCATCAGCTGCTCTATTACATCGGAGAGTTGAATCCATTTGCATTTATAGTTACTATTGAGAGAGTTTTACTTATTCTTGTAAATTTTGTTGCTTGGTTTTGGCTGGATTCTGGTTGAATTATTGTATGTTGCTTCTTTTCTCTCCTATTCAGGTTAGGGCTGTGAAACTACCCAGTGAGCTTGTGTCCACCACAGGAGTCAAAGTCAATTTCATCTCAGCCTTCCTCCTTTGTTCTGCCACCCCAGCCACCTTTTCTGGCAAGCCTGGGAAGACTTGAGTTCTTTCTCCTGTATAGTTCTTCTCCTGTATAGGTGTTTTCCAGTGAGGTTGCCAGCAACTTGTGGGGCCTATGCGGTCAAGACTAGCATCCCACCGTCCTAGTTAGCTTAATCAGCGGGGAAGCCTGACGATGACTCTGCTGAGCCCCGGTGAGTGGGAGGCTGGCGCATCCTGGCAGAAGGGTACTTTCTGCGTCCGCAGTGGGGCCACCTTCCGACTTGTTTCCTGGGCCTTGGCTTTTAAATGCCCCCAGTGAGCCTTATGGCTTGGGAAACAGCCATATCTGCCCTCTGCCACCTGAGGGCTCTTCTTGCTGCAGTTCTCAGGGCCCAATCATAGAGCAAGCTGGGATCTGAGGGGAACAAGAATCTTGTAAGCCCCAGGAGTTCCACCTGACTCTCCAGCAGTTGGCAGAGTGTAGGTAAGTGAGGCCACAGGGAAGCACAGACCCACTCAAGCTGCCCCCAAACCTAGGAGGAATGCAAAGTGAGCAAGACCAAGATCCCGAAGCACCGGGGCAGCGCACCAAAACACCACCAGAGGGCACTCCAAACCAGACAACCCAGGCCCTCTTCCGTGAGGCACTTCCCCACAGAGATCGGCCTTTCAGGGAACTCTTTCAGAGCTGCTGAGGCTGCTGCAGCCTTAAGCAGCCAGCCAAGGACTGCCGTCAGAGCATCATCCCCAGAGGCACCTAGGATACAGGAAACCTGCATCCTGCCTGACGATGTTCAGCCTGGGTTGCATCCCCTGGTCCTGCCAGCAGGCTCATCGTCCCATGGGAGCCCGGGGCAGGGCCAAAGGCCGGGACCCCACGGGGTGAGAAGAGGGCAGTAGAAGAAGAGAGTCCTCCCTCCAGACGCCGAAGAAGGAGCCCTCGGAAGTTGATGTAAAGGCAGAGAGAAGCCTGCTCTTCAGGTCCAGGTGAGCAGAGGTGACGTACACACAGCAGCGACCCTGTGAGGGGTGAGCGGCAAGCCAGGGCTGCCCAAGTTTCCAGACCACAGGCTGTGAGGTCCTGCTTTAAAGACGGACTTTAAAAATCCTCCTAGGTCACATTAAATTGCTGGCTGGCTCGGATCACCGCGATTCCACAGGGAGACCCTCCCCCAGCTGCTGTCAGGTGTCAGGTAAAGGCGTTCAGTACATACAGCCCTATGTCAGTTGTTATTAATACTTGCAGGCGGGGTGATGTAGGGCACAGGGGCCCTGGCTCAAGTCCAGGGCACACCGGTCTGTTGGGAGCATGGTGTGGAGCCATGGCTAGAGCTGAGTCATGCTCAGGGAGGAGCTCCTTCACTCTCTAGGCAAGCCCCAGCTGTCCTGGGCTTGCTTAGAAAGGTGTGGCCTGGGTGTGGCCTGCCCTTGACCTTGCTTAGAAAGGTGGGTTAAGGGAAGGCTGAGGTGGAGGGCTACAGAGCAATTTCTTCTCTTTCACAGAGGTGACCCCTCTCTGCTGCAGCCCCACAGTAGCATAGGTGTTTGGGACAGACAGACACACGTAATAGGCTCCCAGGGTCTATTCTAGCACCCATCTCTCTTCTCTGCTTGCCTTCTCTGGTCTTGTGAAAACCAGCCCCACCTATTTCCTGAGATAAGATGAGACCTGGCTAGCTTTATCCCATTAGCACACCCTACTGGTTTGGATTTAGTCTCAAGTGGGTTGCTTAACGCCAAAATCAAGAAAAAAGGAAATTTGAGGGGGATTGGGAAGACGCCCCTTGGTTCTTTTGAGACTGGAACGTCTACTCTTTCCATCTACTCTTTCCTCCCGCCTGGTGGGAGAGAACAAATGTTAGCCCCTGAAGCTGATTCCAGCATAAAAGTGGGGAGTGAGAGGGGGGAAGAGAGGAGGAGGGAGGGGAGAGAGGAAAAAGAAGGAGGGAGAGGAAGAGGAGGAGAAAAGGGAGGGGGATGAGAGGAGGAGGAGGAAACACCCCAGAAGCAAACAGAAGTGGAAAACAACCAGGCTTGGCTGACTGTGTCAACCTGCTGGATCCAGCTGTGCCTGCCACCCAGGTTATGAGGCTAAAGGAGCCAACACGCACCCTTGTATTCTTGAATTCAACTTTGCCTTTAGACTTTCGTTTTGTTTCCTTTTTTTAAACAGTGTCTTATGTAGCTCAGGCTGGCCTCGAACTCGCTGTGTAGCTGAGGATAGCCTTGAACTTCGGATCCTCTGCCCCTGCCTCCTGAGTGCTGGGATTACAGACATACTATACACCTGGCTTCATGACCTGCTAGGAAATGGACCCAGGGTGTAGGCTCAGAACCTTCATTCTAAGTCTTGCTATAATGGCTGTCCCACACACAGGGTCCCCAGTCCTGCCCCAGTCCACCTATGCTTCCAAGCCCTGCATTCTTCTAAGACAGAATGAAGGTGTCACTCCAGATGTGTCCGGGTTGCTGATGTCTGTACCAGATCCAGGGTCCTCATTGCCTAGCCCAGCTCCATCTCTACCCTGGAAGCTCCCAGCTCAGCTGTGCGCTCTGGACTCCTGAGTCCCGGATCATGCTGACATCTTGGGCCTGGGCTCTTTTAGATTTCGTGCTTAGTCACCATTTCCTTCTTTCTGCTATGTATCCCAAAGACAGTTTGCCCTATCCATTCCAGGTGCTATCCCACCATTCCCTGGGGACCCGTCAGTGACAGGAACTGTGTCCCCATGCTAAAGTGTGGGCCAGAAGCATTCTGCCCCAGCACGACCCACAAAATGCCCACTACTAGTCCATAGCCCCAAGCTTCCGTTCTCTGTGGCATGGTAATGGGTGATGGGCTGACGACAGCCCACCTCCCTACCTCCCCCGAATTTCTGCTTCCCCCAGACCAGGCTGGAAGAATCCACCAGTGCTCACGTTGTCACTTCAGGCCTGACACAAGCTCAGCTTGTAGAAGTTAGCAGAGTGGAGACAGGATGGGTGGGAAGAACATTCTGGAGGTGCGCCTCCATCTGCAGTCACGTCATGTGTACTAAGACAGGCAACCTCCGTCACCTGACAGCCCAGCTTTGCTTGAGGTCACTAGGACTGCTGTGTGAATGATGCTGATGGCTGCAGAAGTGCCACATGGCTAGTTATCACCAAGATTTGTCTTTGTTTGTTTGTGTGTTTGTACCCGTTTTCCACAGCTGTAAATGATGTTGCAGTGAAGGCAGATTTCCGAATGGAAAATGGAGAAGTGGCTCCCTGAGGATGAGACAGAGCTTTCCTGGGCTCTACCCCAGCCCCTGGACTACAAGTCCCAGAGGCCATAGCGGGAGCCAGGAGCCACCCAGCATGTTCAGAGCAATTTGCACATGTCCCCTTAGGTCTGTGCTGGTTCCTTGAAGAAAAAAAGAATCAAATCTAGCAGCCAGGGCTCTTGGCTCACAGAGCCCTTGTGCCCTGGCTTCCGCTGACGCATCTGGCATCTGCTCCCTCTGAGAGGCAGTTGTCACTGCTGGTCCCATTTTCCAGATTTGAGGAACTGATACTCAGACTTCCCCAAATCTGCTCTCAGATCCCCAAGGTACATGCTCCACAAAGAAACTGGTCCCTCACAGCAGGCTTCAAGTTTGAAATCCAGGCAAATGCCTGTAAAGGGCATTCTAAATATATTTCTTTACTATAGATGCTGATCGCCTGTTACTGAAACCAGGAATTAGCTTGTCTGCCTGAGGATGTGGCTGCTGCCTTTGAAAGAAGATACGGGAGAAATCTGCACACTGCCAGCTTAGAGATGCTGCCGACAGCTTCCAGCAAAAGAAGAACCTTCGCTGCCAGATACTTCAGTAAGGCTTTGGCTCTGTGTGGGGGATGACTGCCTGTGGGCTTGACTTCCTGCTTGAGACTGATGTCTCTTGGGGCCACCGAAAGAGCCTCCTTGGTCTGGTGGGTTGTGGGCACCATGCAGTCGAGGCTCAATCTTCCTTCAGACCCTGGCACGAACTGGTTACCCCAGCACTCAGTCATGATCTCAGTGTCTGCTCTATGTATGCCTGAAAAACAGGCTCCAGCATGACAGCAAGTGTCAGGGGTCCTGGGCTCCAGTGGCCAAGGACTCTAACTTTATTTGATGTCTGAGAGGACCATGGTGTCCACAGACTGCTTAGACACTAGGGAAAGCCTCCACAGGGAAAGCTGTACATCCCAAGGCTTCTCTGTTTGTGCCAGGGAACAACCCAGCCTGGCAGTGAACTGAAAGATGTGGGCAATGCTTGAGTTGCCCCAGGAAGTTCTGGGAAGGCAGCAGTTAGCCACAGTGGGCCTATTTGTCTGTTTGATGCCGGTCAGGTGTGCCCTGACAGTGCTGGGCCCTTCAAAAGCTGAGTCTTGAAGGTGCTGGGTCAAAAGGTCATACAGATGCTGAGCTTTACAGGTGCTGGGTTATAGAGGTGCTGGCTCACAGAGGTGCTGGGTTATA